GGTTATTTCACAAATTAATTACCAGTGAGCTACCGATTCCTTTTGGTTTGGGACCTCAGGCCCTGAGTTTAACGTTATCGAGAGTTTATATGGGAAACTAAAAACACTACAATTATGAGACAATGGACGAGTAATAAAATCAAATCCAAATGATAACTCCTCCAATAGACGCATAAACTTTTTCTAATCAACAAAACACACGAAAAGGAGACAAACATCAGATATGTTTTGATTCAAATGATGAATCCAACGACTACATTTAGCATCTTGGGAGATCCAACGGTGGAGGCTGCACAGACTGGAGCTGTCCTGTTCCATTCTCGACTAGGAAAACCATCGCCAGACCCCATCCTAGATGCGTGTCAATGTGACAGTGCATAAACCAAGCTCCTACAACATTTTATTAAAAAATTGTCAAACATATCTGGCCTAAATACATGATTTAGATCGTCTAATCAAAGATTAGAGAGAGCATTTATTATTCACCTGGATTATCAGCAACGAACCGGATGGCCACCCATCCACCGGGAGGGGATCCGATGGTATTCCTTTCCGGCGGGTCAAAGAGATTGAAACTAGCCGGATCTTTATTCGGGTCAAAATTCCCGAAACCCGACCCGACGACATAGAACTGGTACCCATGTAGATGCATAGGATGGTTCTCAGGCGTAACAATGCTCGTGTCTTGCAATACAATCTGCACATTGGCATTGTACTTAAGCTTGTAGGCCTTTGTGGCTTTCACAGGTTGCCAAAGCCCACGGCTTACGTTTCCTGTGTAATCAAATTGAACCGGAGGAACTGGCGGGAAATTTGCGGTTATGATCCCGGGGATTCCTTGGTAATAGGCTTGCATGACAGAGTTACTCCGAGGAAGGACAAATGAGACGTTGTTCATGCTTGCAGCCAACCGTGTTCCGTTTGGTCCCTGGCATCTCGGACTGTTCGGGTTGGTGCAGTTTATCAGCCCTAACCCAACCGTAAAAAACAGATTTTCGTCGATTTGGAGCGGTACTGGAGCTATCTTCCAGTACCGCAAACGGTTAACGAATGCAGTTGCGGTAGCAGTATCATTGAACCTTGGCAAGACCGGGAAAGCCGGTGCGTTCTGATTAAAGCTCCAGTACCGCAAGCGGTTAATGAATGTAGTTGTCGTAGCAGTATCATTGAACCCTGGCAAGACAGGATAAACCTTTGCGATCTTACTGTGTCCACGAGGAGCGTTAGTATATTCTAAAATAGCGGTTGTGGTGGTGTTATCGAAGGCAACATTTCCACTATTGTAGGCCCTTGCCGCGATGTAATAGTGGCCGGGGTCTTGGCTAGCAGTAATAAGGACGTTGAAGGTCTGGCCTGGACTGATCATGACGACGCTTGAGGTGAAAGGCTTAGTGTACGCGGAATCTACCTCCACGACCGTGAGCTGGTGGTTGGCGATGGCGAAGAAGAGTTCTTGGTTCATAGCGGCGTTGATGAGACGGAGCTGAACAGTCTCACCGGGGGAAATAGGAAACCGTTTGGTCTCAGGTCGGGAGCAGCGGTATAGATCGCCCGGTTGGCCGTTGATGGTGTAAGCGTCGGAGACGTTTGGTCCTGCTCCGGTGAATTGGGCTAACCTCAGAACATCCATAGGGTTTCTATCCCACCATTCCCCTGTTATCTTCAACCATTAGTACTTGTTCACAAATTTAAATGGTTATGGATGTAAAAAAAGTGATTTATAAATTACCGAGGATAATTGGGATGTCACGGTTGGGCATAGGGAAAGGATAAGGACTACCGAGACGAGGGTAAACAATGAGAGCTCCATAGACGGTGGCTCGAAGCCAATGGCTATGAGCATGCCACCAAAGCGTACCTTCTTGGTCTTCGATCTTGATTCTGTATGTGTAGTTTTGTCCCGGTTGGATCGGACACTGAGTTATGTACTCTGGTCCATCGGCCCACGGGTTTCGAAGTTGCCGGAGTCCATGCCTGTTCCCAAAAAACAGAGCATATGTCAAAATGTTTGTTTACTTGGATGGGAAGTTATCTACCTAATAAGCTGATTGAGTGTTTTATTTACCAATGGATGCTAATATTGTAACGAGCTTTGTTGATGACTGTGATGGCTAGCGAGTCGCCATCTCTCACCTCGAGCGTTGGACTAGGGAACTGACCATTCACGGTGATGGTCTTGTGAGTTTTGCATAGCCTCTCCACTGGCGTTGCCTTGATCTAGGTGCTCGAAACAACGTTAAACTAAATCACATACATGATTAAACGAGATCTTAATCAAGTGAAGAAGGTAGGAGGCTTAACTTACAACGAATTCATGGACGTGTAGTTCAGCGGATGCGAGGGAAGCAAGAAAAGTGTAGCAAACAAGAAGGAAAAGGAAGGATGCACCGGAGCATCCCCGGGAACTCGTCTGATAGTGAGACTCCATTCGTGTTGAAGCTCTTAGCTTTTGAGTCTATAGGAGATGGACTATTTATACACACACATGGGACTAAGCGGGAAGCTAAGGAGATTCTGTTGGTGCACAATTTTCTATTAAACTTCAAAGTGAAATATTAGATGTAAAAAGTGCAACTAGTATCAGGTTTTACAACAAAGTTCATCAGAGAGGAGGATTAGTTGATTTGGTGTACCCACTATAGACTAATTACGTATTAGGATTCTCTACGTTTATTGATCATATCTTAACTCTTATGGATTGTATGTGATAAAAGGATTATAAGTTGGGGAATCGCTATCGAACCAAAAAAGTTAAATACTTGTTGGAAATCTCCATGTAATTTGTATTCATCTAAAAGACGAAAGGCACATTATAAGTTTTTAGGAAAAAGATAAAAAAAAAATGAACCTTTCATTCTGTTACCAAACTTACCAAACTTGACACTCCTGTGAGATCCAAAATTATCAATCCCAATCAAATAGATATGTTCGATGGGCCAATTCGAAAATGCCATTGGCCCATAACCAATTGTTTGCCTTAGACCATTTTCGTGATTTGGGTTATGACCAAAACGCAGAACGTAAAACGTGGTTGGTGAAATGCGTTCGCGTTCTGACAACGTCAAACC